AACGGGCCGGTGCCGGGACCCCGGGGGTGAAGTCTGGGACCCCGCTGGAGACCGCCCGGGCGAGGTTGGGGGGTCGCCGGTGTGTGGCCGGGAAGGCCCCGCGGCTCACCTTTTGCCTCCTTCCTTTAGGCGGTAACCAGCGCGAGCTCGCCCGCCAGAAGAATATGAAGAAGCAGAGCGACTCGGTGAAGGGGAAGCGCCGAGATGACGGGCTTTCTGCTGCCGCCCGCAAGCAGAGGTAGCCCCTGGGAGGGGAGGACCGCAGGCGGGTGAGACGCGGGCCGGGCCAGGGGCTGGACCAGAAAGGAGCGCTGCCTCGGGGCTGACATCCGAAGGAGTCGCGAGGGGCAGGGTGCAGCGCTTCCTCTCGGGCTCCGTTTCCTCCCCGAGCTCCCAATGGTTAGCTCGCTGCTTCGCAGGAAGGGACGGGGCGGGGGCCGGCCGGAGTCCGGTGTCTGAGTGCCCCTGGGCCTGACCTGAAGGGCAAGGGCAGGGAGCTTCACATTTCAGATGCTTCATTGGCGGTGACAGCCCGGTGCTCTTGGCCCTCCTTGCTGTTCGCGTCTCCTCCCTTCTCCCCACCTTCTCACTGGTGTGGCTGGGTGTGGTGCTCAGCACAGAATAGCCTTGTGTGTGGCCAGACTTCTGACCCCTTGGGCCGCAGCCAGATAGAGACGGATCGCCCTTTTTTGAGCCTCAGCTCCCTTCCTTTTAGTCTCCTGTGGGAATACAGCAGCCACACGCTGAGTTTTGTCCCGTCCACTTCCATCTTATCCTTTTGTGCCCTTCATCCCCCCCTGCATCTTGTCCCTTTTGCCCTCTGGTACCTCCCAGTGCCCCATCATCTCTACCCCCAGGGACTCGGAGATCATGCAGCAGAAGCAGAAAAAGGCAAACGAGAAGAAGGAGGAACCCAAGTAGCTTTGTGGCTTCGTGTCCAACCCTCTTGCCCTTCGCCTGTGTGCCTGGAGCCAGTCCCACCACGCTCGCGTTTCCTCCTGTAGTGCTCACAGGTCCCAGCACCGATGGCATTCCCTTTGCCCCGAGTCTGCAGCGGGCCCCTTTTGTGCTTCCTTCCCCTCAGGTAGCCTCTCTCCCCCTGGGCCACTCCTGGGGGTGAGAGGGTTACCACTTCCCAGTGTTTTTTTATTCCTGTGGGGCTCACCCCAAAGTATTAAAAGTAGCTTTGTAATTCCTTGAGCGACTGGTTTGACTGGGGATTTGGGGGGGGCGGGGGGATGGGGATGGAGGAATGGCTGCCCTTTCCCACGAAAAGGGGAGAGAATGTTAGACCCTAAAAGGTTGTGGATATGTAGCTTAAGTGAGACATCACAGAGAAATCCTTTATTATGCTACAACAAGCAGAGAAGTACTCGGGTATGTGGTAGAGGAATCCTCTAAGAACCATAGGGACTTCTTTTCTGTAATTTTTGTCCCCCGCCCAGACCTTAACACCATCCCAAGGATGGAGTTGAGGGCCTAAGAAGGAAGGCTCCAAGACCTAAGTTTATGCCCCTCTTCCTTATTCTTTCTCCGTTTGTTTGCTTGCTTGAAAGTTGGCCCAAAAATCCTGCTGCTCACCGACTTCCCACAGTCAGCTGCTTTCAAGTGTTCACATTCTCTTCTTCCAGTCCTCGTGGAATGAGGGTGGTTTTTGTCTTCCCACTTCCTTTGACTTCAAGATCAGGATTAAAAGCTGGGGTAGTCTCTGTGTTCCTTCCTTTCTGTGCCCTGGTTTGTTCTGGGGTTCTGGGCTTCTTACATCCCTGTGCCCAGGGCTGAACTGCTTATGTTTCTTTTTATCTCCAAGGGCAGAGCCAAGTATGCCTTCAGTCCCTGTTGGTCTTTCCCTGTCCCCCTCTCCACCATGAGAGTGGTTCCTGAGCTGTTGACTTGGGAGTTAGCTCTTGAGTTGGGGGTGAAGATGTAATGGTAGCTCTAGTGAGTCTCAGATACTTGGCCAGGGCATTAGGGTATATTTGGGCACTTTTTCCAATTCAGACATAGTATTGACTTCAGCCTAAATGAGGTAACTAACTGCCCATTGTGTCCTTGAGGTGTTTGCTAGGCTGTACAGCTCTCTCGAACCAAGACTAGGGGCACAACCTCAAGGGAACCTCAGTTGTGTTAAAAATGCCTAGAATAGATATTTGTTATCTGGCGATACTAATACGATGACATTGTTGCCTGAAGATAGGTGGAGGCTTGGGGTTCTGGGTGGGGGACCAACAAAGTGGTGCCAGTAGCAGCCAGAGATAGAGGAGTACACAAGCCCAGCATGAGGCAACCTTGACCCAGAAGGTAGCCCAGCTACCCTTGGTGAAGGTCTTTTCCAGTTCTGCTCCCTCATAGCTGTGGAACCAAAGTCTTCGGTTAGAGAATAGGAAGGGCCTTAGCGTTTGGACCTGCCCTACCTTGCCATCAGATTATGGCAGACCCATGTGAGTCTCCTGGGAACCCTGAGGTCTGGCCTTGATTCAGTCCCTACAATGGCTAGGTTTTCAGGAGAGTATCCCAGGCCTACTTCCCCATCCTACCTGAACCAGTTGGTAAGGGTAACCATGACATAGAGTGATGCAAGGAAGAAGACGAAGTGGAAGGCAGAATAGCTGTAGGAAAGATGCTGGGCTTGCACTGGAGGAGCTGGAGAGGTCTCTTGGTCAGCTGGCCTGGCAGCTCCTCTTTGCCCTGAAGAGAGGGAGGGCAACAGTGCTGCTGAAATACCTCTTCCACCTTCCTCCTCCCCCAGCTTCCTTTGTGAAAGCACTTAAGGGCTCTTTGGCACTGCAGAAATCTACACTTTCTTATGGATCCTCACTTGACACTCACCTTCCTCTGGCTCCACTGTTTCAGGGCAACAGAAACAGAGTGAGGGCTTCTGTAAAACAAAAGGCAGCATGTTTTGGAATGACTTTGAAAAGAATGTGAAGGTATTAATATAGGAAACTCCCTTTCTTTGAAAATATCTGGTGTAAGAAGTAGAGGCACACCTGGGTTCAAATGCTAGCTCCAGCATATAACTGGCTATGGGAATTTTGGTAAGATGTTTAATCTGTGCCTCAGTTTCTCCATTTGTAAAATGGAGCAAATAACCTACCTCACAGGGTTGTTGTGAGGATTATATTAAATGAGATTATGTATGTAAAGTAGCACAGTACCTAGCACATTGTGGTACTCAATAAAAGGTAATAGCAGCTAGAATCTGAGCTTTCTGGGTAGAGATTGGTAGGATGTGTGTCTGTCTGTCTGTGTGTGTGTGGAGGGAGGGGCACCGAACTGGGGATACCAAACTTTCCATTCTCACCTGGAACTCATAGTTGTAAACCTTGATGATCCACAAGGGCCCAAATACTTCAGCCAGGTAGGAAGCCTCATTGCTGAGAAAGAATACAGTTCTCAAGCAGGTTTAGTCAAATAGCAGGAGGGAATTGCCTGCTGGCACCTACTGCCAACTGGTAACTCTCAGGAGGATATCATGTTCCTAGAACCATTTCCCCCCCCCAAGATTTAGAAGTCTTCACATGAGGGCCCTAAAATCTTTGCATGTATTTTTAATTCTCATATCATTCCCCTTGCCCCCTTTTTCTTATACAGATCATCTGACAAGTGCTATTCTTAGAAACTGTTTCTGTTCATGGAGAGCTTTCCTCTTGTCGTGTTTTAAAGTTTAAATAAACACGGTCCCAGACAATCTGGCCATCCCTCCCTGTCCTGGGCATTTTTCCTTCTCTCATACCTCTACCCTTGACACTTTTACGCACCAAGCAAAAAGCACACAAGCATACATGATGCCAGCACTCAGCACTGCCAGAGAAGTATCTGGTGTTTGGGGTTCCATTTTACTCAGGCCAGGCAGACACAGTGTGTGATTCTGTCCTTGAAGAATTACTGAGAAGGGTAGAAGAAAAGTGGTAAGAACAAAACTAAGTATTTGGCAAGAGCAAAAAAAGGGGGGTTTTAGCCTGGGGAGTCCAGGTCCTGTCCTTACCACTCTCTGGAGGTCGGCTGGACAGTGCAGAGAAGGTCAGGTACATGATATAACAGCTGATGATAGAGGCTTGTAGAAGGCCAGAGCGAGGTTGCTCTGGGCAGAATGGGGATCATTGCTTTAGTCTACAGGGTAGTAATTTCCTCCATTTCTACCCCCAACCACACTTTTGTTTCCCCACCCTTTGGGAGAAGCAAAGAATTGATAGATTAGGGAGACTAATGTAATCTGCTATACTAAAGGTCCCCCAAATCTGGAATGTTGCAAGGCATGTACCCACTGAGGCGGATGCAAGGAGCGATGGAGAGGACGGAGAGGAGGCCACAGAAACAAAGGTGCAGACTAAGCAGCATCTTGTTGAGCAGGCAGCCAGCTGGGTGCGTGTAGTTGTGGAACAGGAACACTGCTGCCACACCTGTCATGCTGTAGAATCCTAGGGTGGCCAGCAGCATGGCTAGGAACCAGCGACAGTCTTGGAATGCACCTGTCTGCCTAAGGGTGGAGGTGGGCAATGGCTTCACGCTCCAACTCTTTTTTTATTACCATTACCAACTGTTCCCCTCTCCCAGAAGACTGGTGTGACTACCCATCCCAGCTGGCCCACAGAGTTATCAGACTCCTGAGCTTTTTTGATATTGTTCAGTGAGAAGTTATGGGACCATGGACCTGTCATGTCCTTTGCCCAAGCCCGCTGGGTCTACTAATGTCAGGCAACATTCCCAGGAAGAGCCGTTAGGGTTATGTGCTCCTTACCAGTTCTTATTCCAGGAATGGGCGAAGGCTGTGATAAGCACCAACTGCAACAGGATAAATGTGAAGCCTCCACAGATGCCAATGTAATGCCAGGCTGCAAGTGGGGCACCAGTGGGGAAATGTAGCTGATCATATTATTACTCCTGGTCTTCCTACCCTCTCTTTTTCTTAGAAAATCTTTTAGCCTACTGGTCAGGATATGAAATGGAAGGTACCTGGGAAGAGATGCTCATCAGGGATGCAGAAGGCAACAGCACAGAGACCTAGCAGGAACAGCAGCTTGAGGAGCCAGAAGCTGGTTAGTAGGGAAAGAAAAGCAGGTTCAGAAGAAAAGGCAAAGGAGAGTGGACAGTAGTGCCTACTGAGGAAGGCAAAGGAGAAAGCAAGACTATAGGAAGAAGGAGAGAAGAGACAGCTAAGTATAGGAAAGGAGTCTTGTGTGAGAGCAGCTGGAAGCAGGCCCATTGCAGCTTATTCCAGATTCTCTGATACCTAAATAACATTTGGACAGCATTTTACTATTGACATAGGGCTTGCATATAATCCCACTGTCACCTCCATTTTAGAAGCTGGAAGTTCAGGCCCTGGTCAGGTAGCTCAGTTGGTTAGAGCGTCATCCCAATATGCCAAGGTTGTGGGTTCCATACCCAGTCAGGGCACATACAAGAATCAACCAGTGAATGCATAAATAAATGGAACAACAAAACAACATCCCTCCCTCCCTCTCAAAATCAATTTTTTTTAAAAATCTCTAAAAAATAAAAAGAAACTACCTGTTTCTGTTTCTGTCTTTTTACAATGCTATTACTTCATCTTGGGATTTCCTTGAAGCTTATATCTACTTCCCTCCCCACCCAAAGAGTACACACAAACCTATTATGCAGCTGTGCCCGAAGGCTGGTAGGGGAGTGCAGGTGGACCAGCAGCACAGCCTGCAGCAGGTGGAAGGTGGCAGTTCCTGCACAAATTCGGTACACAGCCCCAGAACCACTGAGCACTGGGCAGTGAGAGTGGCCAAACAGATGGGCACAAAACCCCGAGGGCATCTGGATCTGGAAGGAGGGCAAGTCGTCATGCATAGAGAGGTACCTACTTCCCATGGGTATTATCCACTCATTTGTCTCCAGCCCCCAATCTGAATCTTGTCAGTGCAACTCTATCCCCTCACACTTACGCCATTAGCCTTGCCCCAGACCCTCTCCACTACTGTTCTTGACAGCAGCAGGCAGCAGACTGCTGAGGCACCCATATGGAGGATTATGTAGAACAGGCGGCTACAAGTGGACTCTGTGAGATGAGGCCACCTAGAATGGCAGCAGCAGGTACAGGGAACAGGCCCACAGCAGGACACCTGGGGATAGAGCAGATGCAGGGCTAGGGTTACATTAATGCATGTGAGTTTAAACTAAGGCTGAGTTCCAAAATTTCCCCTTTCCTTTTCTTCCAAGCTATTTGGAATTGACTTCCACTGACATCAAATAGAGCTTTCATCCTAAGAGCTTCACTACCGGCAGGCTTGAGCAGACCTTCCTAAAAGCCTAAATCACACCTGGCCTCTAACCTTTCCCCAGACCTAAACATCTGATACTGGGAACCTGGGAGGAGAGATTTAATGATCAGTCATCTTACAGGCAAAGAAGCAGAGGGCCTCAGGGGGGGAAGGAAGGCGTATCATCTTTATTGGCTCCCCTGGGCTTTCTTTCCCAGCTTTACTACTATTCCTTTCCACTTTTCAGATAGCTCTCGTCGAGGGAGCTTTCAAGCCTCTGCCCAAGTACCTTCTCACCTGATAGAAGGGAGGATTCACTCTGACATTGCTGTCTTCACTGCGTTGCTGTGCCAGGCGGAGGGAGGTGCTGGGGCCCGCGATGGCCTTTGCACCCACCATCCTTATGCCAGATGGAAGGTAGATGAGAAAATAGCAGCTCTCTTTTGTCCCCAGCCCATTGGACTGCCACGGTGCTGGGGCTGGTCACCCAGTCTAAAACGGAATGGGCAGGAACATCAGGAAAAGAACACCGACCTCCAGGCTGTGGTACATGCAAAGGTCCCAGTGAAACTACTTTCTTACGTGGGCCCTTAGGCCACCCTGGCTGTTCTGCCTAGATTAGAGAGCAGAATGCATATGTGCCTCCTGTGGATTAGCCTTCTTAATTGGTTTAGGATTAGACGGCATCAATGCTGCTTAAACAGAATTCCTTGGCAGTGTGCGCGCGCCCGCGGGAGGGTGCTGGAGGGATCCGGGTAAAGAGGGAAGGATGTGAGGGGGTAGGTCTGGGAAAGGGCTCTGCAGAAAACAACACGGTACAAGCCAAAAGAAAGGCGGCCAGGCGAACCCCCTTCCTCGCTGAAGCTTCTAGAACCAGAGCACTAACGAAGGCGTGGCCCAGGCACAGCCCGCCCCCTCCTCTCCCGGCGGATGTTGTGGGCGTTACCGGAAGTCGCGGGGCGGGGAGGGGTTTGTGCGGCGGCGCGGTGTGGTCGATATGGCGACCGAGGGGGATGTGGAGCTGGAATTGGAGACCGAGACCAGCGGCCCGGAGCGGCCCCCCGAGAAGCCACGGAAGCATGACAGTGGTGCGGCGGACCTGGAGAGAGTGACCGACTATGCGGAGGAGAAGGAGATCCAGAGTTCCAACCTGGAGACGGTGAGGCGGCCGGGCGCGTGTCGGTCGGGCTGAGAGCGGAGGGGGCTCCGAGGGGGTAACTGGAAGCCCCGCTCCAGGACCGGGTCACGATCCCGATGGCGGGAGGAGGCAAGAGGGAAACCGAACCATCACTGGGACCCGCGGCTTGCGAAAAGGAGCTTGCTGGAGATTGGGTTTAAAGTGGGCTTCCGGAGCTCAGGATTGAATTAAATAGGCCTCCTGATACACTCGTCATCGAGAATATACACCTGCCTCGCTTGTTAATGGCTTTCTATATTAGGGTTTGTGGGTAGCAGAGCAGTAACTAGATTTGTCTTTCCCGTAGGCCATGTCCGTGATTGGAGACAGACGTTCCCGGGAGCAGAAAGCCAAACAAGAGCGGTAAGTCTTCGGTACGCAGCCAGCCCTAGAGCCCCTCCTTCCCCCAGCAGAAACAAAAACCACGAGTAAGCCTCGTACCGTTCAACTCTCACCAATTCCCTCAGATACAAGGTTTACAACTTTACTCTTTTGTAACTTTTGTAACGTTACTCTTTTGTTGGTAGATGTAAGGCCTCCTGGCAACACCTACTGCCTGCCCTAAAGTCTCCTGGGGGAGGGGGGTAATGTTATGTTGAGAGGGTGGAAGTCTTTGTATTTTCACTCAACTGTTTATCAAGAGTCATTTATTTGTAAGGTACAACAGGGGATGTCCTTCCTGGGAGTTTATGGTGGAGATAGAGAATGAGGACTAATCCACATGAATATTTGTAGGGAGAAGGAACTGGCAAAAGTCACCATCAAGAAGGAAGATCTGGAGCTGATAGTGAGTAGTGATGCCTAGTTTGGGCTGTTTCTTTTTTTTAAAAAATATATTTTATTGATTTTTTACAGAGAGGAAGGGAGGAAGGGAGAGGGATAGAGAGTTAGAAACATCAATGAGAGAGAAACATCGATCAGCTGCTTCCTGCACACTCCTTTCTGGGGATGTGCCTGCAACCCAGGTACATGCCCTTGACCGGAATCGAACCTGGGACCCTTGAGTCCGCAGGCTGACGCTCTATCCACTGAGCCAAACCGGTTAGGGCTGGGCTGTTTCTTGAAACAAGTAGAGTTAGTATGTTTTGGTGGCACATTAATGCCAGAGAGGTAACATCATTGATCCTTTTCCTGCAGATGACAGAGATGGAGATCTCAAGAGCAGCCGCAGAGCGGAGCTTGAGGGAACACATGGGCAACGTGGTAGAGGCTCTTATTGCCCTAACCAACTGATTTGTGCTTTCTCAGACGTATCCACTGGATTAACTTATTGCAATAAAGATGCCTCCTTTTTTGTGCAGTTTTATCATTTTGAATTGAATGCAATGTATATTGTATTTTACTGTGGGAAATTTACATGCTGGAGTATAACTGAATTTAAGTGATTTCCGCCCCCCCCCCCCCCCCCCCCCCCCCCCAGCCCTTAATGAATCTACGTGAAGGATCATTGTAGAAGAGTCTCATGTTCACATGTAAATGCCAGATGGCAGGACAGCTCATTCATCAGACTAGCTCTTATTTTTTATTTTTTATTGATTTTAGAGAGAGAAGGGAGGGGGAGAGCATCGATTGATTGCTTCCTGTACGAACCCACAACCAGGATATGTGCCCTGAATGGGAACTGAACCCAAGACCTTTGGGAGGACACTTCAACCAACTGCAGCTATAAACACATTCCCAAAAGAATTTCAAGCTCATTCTCATTTTGGCTGTAGGATAATTCTAATATTGTATTCCCCTCTGGCACACAGTGGGGAATACAGTGACTTACATTCATCTTTTTTTTTTAAAAAAATAGATTTTTATTGATTTCAGAGAGGAAGGGAGAGGGAGACAAAAACATCAATGGGAGAAAATCACTGATAAGCTGCTTCCTGCACACCTCCTACTGGGGGGTCTAGCCTGCAACCCCGGGCATGTGCCCCGACTAGGAATTGAACTAGGGACCTTCTGTGATGGGAATGACACCCAACCAACTGAACCACTCTGGCCAGGGCTGCATTTGTATTTTTTTTCTAGGACTTTTTAAGGATTTATGAGGGATTTCCCAGAGGGACATTTAAAGGATGTGAACAAACCTTGGTTGCCTTATTTTTTCATGCAATTGAGAAGTAGCCTTCCTGCTGGTTAAATGTCATTTCTGATAATTCCTAGAACTCCTCATGCTCTGCCATGTATGTGGGAGTTATGTAGGAAGAGTTAAGTGGAAAAATCATGAATTTAACTCTAGCACAATGTCACTACACTGAAACTCAGCACTGTGGCCTCCTTGATATATGAGTTGGGCAAAGAAAAGATACTGGTAGGGACTTGGGAGTCCCCATTTTATAGGTCAACTTTTGTTATATATACAATTAAGAAGGCAAGGACAACCATCTATGTATATTACTTGCTCAGAATAAACTGGGTGCCACTATGAATATGCCTGTCTGTAGAGTCAGAGTTTGTTTCTGAGATCAAAGTGTGAAACATCGTTTGCCTGACAATTCTGACTTAATTTTAGTTAACAGGTGATACTTAATAGCCTGCACATTATTTTCCAGTATGAAGCTCAAAAAGTCTCATGTGATTCTTTTATTGACATATACATAAATGGATTTAAAAAGTACATTCACCTAGAAAAATTGACTTGAGCCAAAAATGTAAATCAGGTTTCAATGAGCTCAGATTTCCTGTAAGGTAGAAGTAATGCACTGTCCATTTACATGCCTATATTTCTGACCCAAGCTAAGGGGCTGGGGAAAAACTTGAAACAGTCCCAAGTAAATTTGGGAAGCCAGAGCAATGATGAAAACGAAGATTTCTCAGAAATAATTTTAAGTGGGGATAATCCTACCTGGATAGTGCTTTTATATGGGTTTCTCAGCATGAGTCCAAACCGCACAAAGCACCTTCCAAAACTGGGTTACCCAGTGTCACAAGTATGGCAGTAGGTCCAATAGGCTGGATACGTAGCCCATGTAAATAATAGTGAAAGCAAAGGACCAGACACTGAGACTTGCCCTTGTGTCCCACAGCTGGAAGAATAAGTAGTTGATCTTTAAGTAGTTTTCCGCTTTTTGGCAGATGGCCGTTCAAATACATCTCGTACCCCAGCTGCCTTTTGTTTAAAGAACTTTGTGTTCTGGGCACACTCTTGGCCCCATGCTGAATCAAAGGAGGTGGTGTCCTGGTCCACAAGGTGGGTATATTTGGTACGACCAGAGCGCCCAAAGTTCTTGACCTGAGGGAAGGATAGGTGATGAGTTATACTACCAAACATTATGTCCCAGCCCTCAGTATTACTTTTCTCTCATGTTAAGGTGCCCCATACCTGCATGACTTTGGGAAGAATTGTTTTGTTGAAATGATCCTCCAGGGTAGGTGCGCTGAAATCTCTCTTGTATACTTCTTCATCCTCATCCTGTAGAAAAGAGTCTTATTAATCTTGTGGTTTTATTTCCCATACATTCAGACCACAAATTTATTAAACTATGATGAGGGGTACAAAGAAAGCAGGGGGATAAAACCTTTTCTTCAAGAGCTTACATCTCAATATGACACTCCTTTCCCCCCTCATGTTGTCTTTTTTTCTTCCTAAGTGTAGCCATTTCCTGAAGGTTGGTTATATTCTCTCTGCACTCAACTATATTCATTCACTCATATGTCTAACTCTGTTACAGCCTTTCAAATCTCTGATTCTGAATTTTTTTTGTAGATACAAAATAATTAGCCATTTACATGCAATAAACATTAATATTTCAAGAAAAACAATTTTAAATATATTACAAAAACTGTACTAACAGTATATCACAAAAGTTGTAGGAAATATTAAAAATCTGCAAATACCAGGATTCCACTATATTCTAAAATATTTTTTTCCCCTCTGGCTCTATTTTTGTTCATCAGTTTATAGATTCTGAATTTTCTACTTCCCATTAGTTTGAATATTCTGTTGGGATTTCAAACTGTCTAAAGTGAAAATTATTTCCCCAACCTTTCTAATTCAGCTTCTTCCTGATTTAACTTTCTCTGTAAATAGGACCAACATTCTCTCAATTACCTAGATTCAAAATTTAAATCTGTTGTGCATGCCCTGGCCGGCTTGGCTCAGTGGATAGAGCGTCAGCCTTCGGACTGAAGGGTCCCAGGTTCAATTCCAGCCAAGGGCACATGCCTGGGTTGTGGGCTCGTTCCCCAGTGTGGGGTGTGCGGGAGGCAGCCGATCAATGGTTCTCTCTCATCATTGATGGTTATCTCTCTCCTTCTCCCTTCCTCTCTGAAGTCAATAAAGAAATATATTTTTAAAAAAATAAATAAATCTGTTGTGCAGATTCAATCAGTTGCCACTTATAAATTCTCATCCCCTGGGTTATAGTTTTTCCTTGCAGTCAATCTTACACACTGCCAGTGGATTAATGTTTCTAAAACACAACTCTCTCATATCTTGGCCTTGCTTAAAAACTTTAAAATTTTCTATTTTATTAAATAACTCCTCTGTGTAGTAGTTAAGGCCTTAATCGACCTCTCCTTGCCACTTTCCTTTTCCTTTTCCTTTACACTGCCTCTACTCTTGGTCCCTTCACCTGGAATGTCTTCCTACTACCAAATATCAGAAAGTCTATACATTAAATGTCACCTCCTTTACATTATCCTTTTCAGTCTTCTACAAAATTCAACATCTCCCTTTTCAGAAGTCTCACAGTACTTTTCATTTTCCTTATGTTATATATTTGCCCTACCTCCATTTTTAGAGTATGAAACAGTGCCCTTTATGCAGTAAAAGCTCAAAAGGTTATCTACTTAACTATAGTAATAAAAGCACAATATGCTAATTAGACTGGACATCCTTCCAGATGACCTTCCTGGACGAAGCTGGGGCTACTAGGGAAGACCGGGTCCCGGGTGCCAGAGGGAAGCCAGTGCCAGCAGCCGGGGGAAGGAAGGCCTACTCTTGCATGAATTTCGTGCATTGGGCCTCTAGTATAAAATAACTATAGAGAATAGTTTCAAATCAACATGTTAGTAAGACTATAATGTTAAGATATAGATCATAAACATATGGTAAAGGAATTAAAATAGTAGCATCTTGGTTAAGGAAAGCTTCATGGAAGAGCTGAGTCCTTTAACTAAACACCCTTTTGGAGTATTCTTTTCCCTTCAGCTAGAGAAAGACCCAGTTTAAAGTAGGACAATTAAACAGTTTTTGTGAGATTTACTTTTCTCTTGTTCGAGCCCGAGTTCCTCATTTAAACTCAGAAGCCATTTCAACTTCACTCTCCTTATCTAGATGAGAAGACTTAACATTTGAGGATGTGCATCAAAAGACTTTCATATAAACTTTATGTATCTTAGCCAGCCAGCAATACACTTCTCTAAGAGGCTTGGATGTTGAAGTTGCTGAAATGCTTAAGCAATGATAACTTCATGACTTTGAAGCAGTATAAGGAGTGATTCATAATCTCTACCAACTTCAATTTAGAAAAACTACATAACTAAACATTTCCTGCTGAGCAAACAGACACACTGATTTTGGAGAGGAGTAAGGAACCCTACACTGAAGTTTTTTTTAAAAATAATTTTACCAGTATCTGCAGTAACAGGCAGGAATTTAGCTGCAGTGGTGATTATTTAGGGTCTGACATACATTTAAAAAAGCTAGTCTAAGTTTTTGATACAAACTCCTCACACACAAGGAAATAATTTAACAAACGACATGCTATTGGAATAATAAATGTAATCAACGCTTCCATTTCCTTTCTGGCTATCTTTGTATTAAGAAATTATCTCTAGCCTGGCTGGTGTGGTACAATGGTTAAGTGCTCACCCAGGAACCAAGAGGTCGCTGGTATAATTCCTGGTCAGGGCATATGCCTGGCTTGCAGGCTTGGTCCCCAGTGGGGAGCATGCAGGGGGCAGGTGATCAATGATGTTCCCCTCATATTTCTCTCTATCCCTCTCCCTCTCTCTAAAAATAATTAAAAAAAAATTATCTCTAATGCTAATCCGAATAATTTGGAATAAATCGCCTAATATAGGATTTACAGGTTGATATTTTGATCTTGGAAAGATGATGGCATTACACATAATGGTTAGATAATTAACCACTTTTTTTGTTAGTTAGGCTTAGTAACTTTCTGTCAGCTCAGAATGAAGTGAATTAAACTTTTGCCATGCAAATATGAGTTTATGTGAAGCTATTTACAGAACCTATTTTATGCATAACCAAAATGCAAAAGTCAGTTATGAATAATATCTAAGTGATTTTGGTGCATAAATAGTCTAGCATCTATATAGATCACTCTCTCTATTTCAGTTCCTCAATTCTAACA